AATTTTCCCCCTGTTTGGGGCTAACATAAAAAATTAGCCGAAAACCCAAAAAAAGCCATTTTTCCGGCCTTCCCCCCCCCCCCCCCCCCCAACGGACACTCCAGTGACCATTCTGTGTCATACCATCTCTTATCTACCTGGCTTTTTTGAAACTTTAGAAAGGTATTGATGTTGGTAGTAGACATTAGTATCGTTGTATACCACACAATAGGTTATCAAGATGTATCTTGCCTATTGGTAGAAAAATATTTTCCGAAAAAAATCCAATTTTTTCTGAGTTTTCAAAAGTCATCGATTTTGCAATTTATCATTTTTTTGAGATAAACCAACGAAACAAAATACTTTTTTTACCAGTTGATAGTTTATGGAGTCCGCTACAAGACATCTCTCCAAAGTTTTTAAATTCCATGCTTTCTTAATTTTTTGCCATCGATCTACAAATGGTCACTCCACTGACCAAGGGGGGTAAAAGGTTAAGCGCTTCAGTTCGCTTCTCAAATTAGTGACTGTTCTTGCCGACATACCGAGCATCTCTTTGAGACGATCATTGACATTTTTCAGTGGCATAGAAGGGCCTTTTCTCTCTTTTTCAACAAAGTCAATAATTCTTAATGCTAGTTGTTTAAATGCTGGTGTAAAGGCCTCTTCTGCATACATGATTCTGTCTGAGTTTTGAGATATATTTGATGGAGTCACTCGACCACTAAGATATTTAGCACTCGAAATAGATGAAAACTATTTACAGAACAAATGAGAACTCAAAAGAATCAGTAAATATTAAGATCTTATTGAAAAAGGACTTTGAGAATTCGAAAATAATTTCCGGTTTTCACGAACATTATTAGATGATGGTGATCGAATCTTTATATGGATAACAGGCATGATTCAACTTGATCCTGAAAAAGTCAAAACAAAGTCAAGTAAAGTATTAAAATGAGTTTCAAACCATAAGCCAATAGAATAGATAAAAGAATGTATGCGACGCGTGATAAAGAGAATTTATTATTATTAATAATTGATAATGCTATACTGAACGAGAAAAAGTAATTCTCACTTCTGATTTCGCACATAATCCAAAGAAATATTAAAAAAGTCCTTAACCTACAAATAAATATATGTCATAAAATACGAGAAACATAAGCTATATGTTTTTCCTTTGTGATTGATACGTGGATTTTTGTGTTGCATTTCGTGAACAAAAGTTTACGAGTAATGAATTTGTTCGAGAATCCAAGAAATGCATAATTAATAGTTGATATTCTCCACACCTACGTAAATTTTGCTTCACAACTCATATTTAAAAAAAAACACATATTAATACTCCGATTCGATGTAAGAATCGACATTCTAAAGTTTTAATCATTAAGTGACCTATATAAGGATGAATAAAATATAATAAAAATAATAAATTAAATTAAAGATTTTAATTAGTACCTTGTTTGCATCCAAATTCAAGTATTGAAATATTCAGATTGGTTTATTTTGATACTGAAAGTGATTAAAGAACGAATGTCATGATAAAAACGCGTCGATCCATCAATGTCAAGATAATTTTATTCTTTGTTTCCACATATACTTCTGACAATGGACTGCGTACGCTGACATTGAGTTTGTAAAGTTCGAACGCTACTTCATGTTCTGCATAGATGAATAATAATAATAGCACAACACTTCCTACTGTTAGTAACGTTGATCAAATCTGTCAATCATTATCTCAAGTAAGAAAGAAAAGCTTTTCAGAAAATAATTTGTACAAGAATATCCCCGTATAACTAGCGCTCAGGATATTGAGTGCTCATTCGAATTTTGTGAAACACAATTTAAAAGCAGTGTTGAAGTATAGAGGTAGAAATTTGGATCTACTCCTCTCAAAGACCGTAACAGACATGACCAACATACCATCATAGACACCTTAGCAACTCTTCCATTTAGTGCAGATCGTGGCAGACATACCCGGAAAACCAAAGGGTAAATCACTGATGAGCTTACGATAGTCGTGCTTTGCCCTACTTTAACATATTGCGATTAGCATTTTTCATCTTCGGTATGCATTGACAATAGGTAACAATTCACAAACTGAAACATATGGACGTAAATTCTTACTAAGCAACATCATCGTGTTTCCGACAGAGATTGCGCTAACAGCCTTTTCATGAGGAAATGAGAATTTTCTTATCTAACTAAATCAATGTTTTATTTACTTTTTAAATAATAGGCAGTATTAGATCAAACAATTTCTACCAGTGAAGATCTTGAAAAACAACATTCTAATAAAACGTATATCTTTTTTAGTCCTTCGTCTATCATATCCTATAACCTTTGACTCCTCTTTTATAGGAATTCAAAGAAACATAAACACCACCTTCGACGTATTCTACCATTTTTAGCTATACTGTTTTGTGTCGTTCTTGCTATAGCTATCGCTGCAATTCTTCTTGCTGTATTATACAAACCTAAACTATCGACAACAAGTAAGAAATTACTGATGTTTTTTTGTATCAAATCAAGTTGAAATAGATTAAAAGTGTTTTCCTAGATTAACGTGGCCATATACGTAAAAATGCTGGAAAATAGAGATATGGCTTCGTCCTTGAGAATGAATATGTGCCTGGAGACGTGTACCTGAAATGCAATGCTAACTGACAAATGCAATTAAAAAAGTCTTTCAGAAAATAATAGACCGATTTCAATTTGTGGATATAATTGCTCTCGTATTAATGTTACAATTTTCATTGCATCCATTGATGTACCACCTAATATACCAAATGAAGCATTTATGTTAATATTTGCAGTAGAATTTAAATGAAATGCTTCAATAAATATCTCTTTTATTTTGTCTTCTAATGATGCACTAGTAATCATTGATAATGTTGTTTCAGATGAAGATAATGATGAATAATCATGTTCAATTTTTGGTAAATTTTTTCGATCAATCTTTCCATTTTCATTAAGTGGAAGTTTGCCCATTATTAACCAAACAGATGGTACCATATAAGAAGGTAAATGATTTAAACAAAATGAAGTCACATGAGATTTTAAATCGTCATATTCTATGCTCTAAATATTTTTATCTCTCACATCAGTTAGGACTGCTAATTGTATATACGCACCTAAATATTCGTCCTTGATATTTTCATCATTAGTCTTAATTACAACACAATTACATTCATCACGCTCAGAGTTAACAATCCCGAGTACGAATAGAACATCTCCTATCTGTTACCCAACGCCAGCTGCCGTTTCATTTTGATCACACAATGCTTCATTTGACGACGAAGTGGTGGAGAACAATTGCATCATTCATCACGCTCAGAGCAAACCATGCCGAAGAACAGTGTATCACCCTATCTCCTATCTGTTACACAGCGCCAGATGCCATTTCATTTTGATCACACGATGCTTCATGTGACCACGAAGTGGTGGACAACAATTGCGTCGTTCATTAATAGTTTAAAACATTTTGACTCGATTTACTTAAGACCTTAAAAGGACATATATACTTTTCTTTTAAAAATGGTGAAAAGAGTTATTACACACAGAGGATCACACGAATGAGCTAAACATGAATATATAATCCATTTTCGCTGGGAATATAACGCCTAAGAAATTATTCATAGTCAAATTTATTTAATTTCAATGAGTGAAAATAGCATTTCTAAGATCAAAATGTACAAACTTTTTCTACATTTAGCATCAACTTTGTTTAAGTAGACGACAACACTATTTTTCTTCTGTTGCCGATAATACATTGAAACGAAAATCAGCCAAAATACTTCGAATTGTCTGATCAGTTAGTATCATATCATGAAAATTATTAATACAGCGTGAAAAAGATTTATAATTAAAATAAACCATTTTTTCGAAAATTAAATAAAAGTATAAAGCACTATGCATTAAAAAAAGATAGAAACAAAGTGTAGAATGAGTTATGCTTTAGAAGGTTATGAAGACTTCTATTTCCAAGTCCTTGACTCGATGCTGTGTGTATAAGATACAAAGTATATTTTATATACTCCTCTTTATTTCACTCCTTTTCAAAGAAGACGACCGAACCTTTTTCGACTGGATTTTTGAGGCCATAAGAAGAGAGATAAGGGGAACAGGATATATTGAAAAAACAATTTAAGTTTTATAGAATTATTAAATATGGTGTACAGGAATGAATAAAATAAAGCAATTCGATCGAACAGACAACAACATTGGACATAGTATAGCGAGTGTCAGGAGCTAAAGACTAGCGGTTTTTCTCATTCGAAACAGAAATAAATAAACGAAGAAATGAAAATATGAGATGCATGTTGAAAAACTTGGTGATGAAAATTTCATTTACTTACTTACTTCTTCGTAACAACTGCAGAGAAAAATATGTCAGAGACGAAAGTCGTTTTTATCAATTATCTGCTGACCGCATCATAACTCTTCTCAGCCGACAAAAAAGCGTGTAAAGAAACAATCACGATATGAAAAACATAAGTGGTTAATGAAATACTTAAATAATAGCTATTCCTAATTCACTAATAAGCCGATTTAATTTCAGATAATATTGTTTTATATAATATTTTTATATAACAAATAAATTATATTATTATTATAAATTTTGTTGATTTAGCTGGAAGTGAACGACAGACAAAAACTGGATGTAGTGCACAACGTTTATTTGAATCAGCTAAAATTAATTTGTCATTATCAGCGTTGAATAAAGTGATATCGTCTTTAGTTGATGGAAAATCAAAACATATTCCCTACAGAGACTCAAAATTAACAAGATTATTACAAGATTCAGTAGGTGGAACAACAAAAACAATTATGATCGCGTGCATTTCACCATCCGAAGATAATTATGAAGAAACATTGTGCACATTAAGGT